TAGGGGTTTAGGGTTTAGGGTTAAGGGCTTAGGATTTGGGGTTTAGGGTTTAGGGTTTAGGGTTAAGGGCTTAGGATTTGGGGTTTAGGGTTTAGGGCTTAGGATTTGGGGTTTAGGGTTTGGGTCTTGGGCTTTAGGGACTAGGGTTATCTCACATCCCTGGATGGATCTTCTAGAGAGGTAATATAAGGAGTATGTAGGGTTTCTATGGGGCTTATGTTGCGATTCTATGGGGAATACATAGGGGCTATACCGGGTTCTATAGGGTTTATACTGGGCTTGTAGGTTCGCCAAAATTATCCAATGGTCGTAGGTCGGTCTTACTTGAACTGGGGGCTCTTCTTTCTTCATCCTCCGAGGGGTCTGGATTGTTTAGGGTTTGGGGGGGGGCAGAGCTTGTTGTTTATTGAGCTTCGGTCGTCTTTTGGGGGTTGAGGGTTTGGGGATACTTCAGGGCACAGTGTTTGGAGTTTTGGAGTGTGGCTTTACAGCTTCAGGTTGGGGGCTTATACCCTAAACCCCTTAACCCCTAATCCCTGGACCCTCAGCCGGGTTCAGGGTCAGGGCTCACAGAGTCAAGGCTTGGCAGTGCAGATTTTGGTGTTTTTTAATGAAGTTTTGGCTTCAGGGTTTTGGGTTTGGGGTGTATGGTTTAGGGTATAATTTTCACGCTTAGCGTTGTGGAGGGTTTGGGGTTTATGGCTAAGGGCTTGGGGTTTAAAGGGTTCAGAGCTTGTGGACTTCGATCTTCTGGCTTCCGGCTTTGATGTTTGGGCCCAAAAGGCTTCAACCAAGGGCGTACGCCATATCATACTGGGATTGCGCGGTTTAGGGTTTAGGGTTTAGGGCTCCTCCCTGGGTACAATGGAGTTCACAGGCCGTGCTTAGGAACCCTAAAAACCTTGAACTGTCTGTCTGATGTCAGACCTCAGCGCACAACATGCAACAATCAATCCATACCGTGACGCTTGGTTGATTCTACTGTTTACAGTTCCGTTTCGGGGTAACTGTGGCTTAGTAGCTGAGTGGACAACCTTTAAACTTTCGGGCATGTATTTCTTTATAACTGTAAAATGAACCTGTTTTGGGTCAGGAAGCTCAGCAACTAGGGTAGGGTCAATGTCAAGGGTTGAGGTCTGTAAACCCCAAACCCTACACTACAACCCGTAACTGCGAGGATTCTAGAGTTGAAATTAAAGGTTTGTCGTTCTGGGGGGTCTCCCATGGGCGGCTATATGAGCTACAGTCTAAACTTTGTCTAATAGTCCAAACTCCTTAGAGGGGATTAGACAGGGGAGCATTATAGGGGTTATTAAGGGGGATACTAGGAGTTTAGATTATAGTTCATACAGGGATATATGTCCCCATAGTGCAGAATAAACCCATAGTGCCATGGTGCAGAAACATTCAAGAGAAAACAAAATAACAATTGAAATCTGGGATTGTATATGGTTATAGGATGTCCTGGTTGGGGTCAGGGAGGTATGTTGTAATGGTTTCTAGGTGCACAGAGATCTCTGCTTAGGGGTTTCTTGGTTTAGGGTTTCTCGGGCTCATGCAACCTACTGGCGGAACCCTAAACCCTAAGCCCTAAACCATGTGACATCCGTGTAGTAACTTGGAGGGTCATGGAGACTTCGTTAGCATGACATGCTGAGGGCCCCATAAGACATGCAAAGACCATAAGTACCCCTGCTGTTACAGGGTTTAGGGTCTTGGGGGGTCAGGGTTTATTGTTCAGGGTATAGGGTTTACTTGCTTAGCACCCCTGACCCTCCAACTAGTACTCTAAGACTAGTACTCTAAGATCCGCCCTTCTAAGTGCCAGAACACTTTCCGGAGAGTCTCCTTAGAATGTTTATTCGGTTTGAAAGCAGCAGAGCCCGCACAACAGGAGTTATTTCAACAAGCTCTCAGAGGACAAGACCCCACACCTCAGCTCTAGGAACGAAAGCCAAGATTCAAAACTCTAGTCTTCTGGGTTTCCTAACAACCCTCCCTACACGACTTCCTCCTTGAATTGGGTTTGTGTAGGCTTAATGAAGGCTAACTAAGGGGAAAGCTCAGGGGGAAGAGTATAGGGAGGGGTGGTTTAGGTGATAGTCCTAAAAAGAGCA